TCAATCAAGGGAAACAAACGTCGTACTACAGATGTCAAAGGTACTAATCGCGGAGGGACTCGGCTACAACTTACTGAGCGTCAGCCAGCTGATGGCAAAGGGGATTCATCTCGAAGCAGACAGTACCACTCAAGAATTCAAGCTGTATCACGGGAGAGGAGGACTCTACATCGGCAGGGCGGTCCTCAAGAACAACGTCTTCGTTCTTGATTTTGTCCCTGACCTTGGCACTGCCGACAGCGACGCCATCGTAAACTTCACCGACTGGACACACCCTCCGGACCTTGATTCAGACTTCAGTCCAGAAGGCTTCTGGTACTCACACACCATCCCTGAAGCAGAAAGAACAAGGGCGTTAGCAACAATCCAGACAACATCGGCAGCAGCAGAGACAACATCGGCAGCAGCAGAGACAACATCGGCAGCAGCAGAGACAACATCGGCAGCAGCAGAACCATCAACGGCAGCAGCAGGAATGCCAGTTGCTGGTCCTTCAACGACACCACTCCTCATCGACGACACACCACCAACACCAGCGCAACAACTGCACCCAGCACCACGAGAAGTTCATCGCAGCACCAACTTCACCGCCAGCTTCTACTCCAACTCCGACATGTACCGACGATCACCCGGACATCGCGCCAACGAAAGCACCTGGCACGCACGGTTGGGACACCCAAGCAACACAGTATTAAACAATACAATAAGAGCAGGAGTACTTGACAAGGACTCACTCCTACTAACCGACGGACGAGAACTTCAACGAGCGCGAGGAACGTGCTTCACCTGCCCTGAAGGCGACTTACCGCATCGACCATTCGCGTCACATCACAACCCAAGCGCTCCCGCGTACGCACCACTCGAGAAGGTGTATAGCGATATCATGTTCAATCGGGAACCAGGAAAAGTCACATACAACTACACGATCACCTTCATCGACGCCGCCACCCGTTACGTCTGGCACCTAAACCTACCCAGCCGCGACATGGCATTCGCAGCCTTCGTTGCCTGGCTACCAGTAGCAGAGAGAGAGTCGGGCGTACAACTGAAAAGCTTCCAGTCAGACGGAGGAGGAGAATACACCTCTCAGCGGTTCAAGCAGTACCTGGCGGAAAGGGGAATCAAGCAGCTCATCTCCCTTCCCTACGCCCATCAGCAGCAAGGAGTAGCAGAGAGAATGAACAGGACCCTGCAGAACACCATGCGCAAACTGCTACGTGGCATGCGGCTACCCAACCACCAATGGCCTGCAGCAATGGACCACGCTGTCATGCTGCACAATTTGCTGTCGTCGTCATCGCTTCCGAACAACGCATCACCGCATCTGCTATGGACAGGGAAACAGGGCAGCACAAAAATGTTACGAGTTTTCGGGTGCATGGTACAGTACCGACCCCCAGCAGCACGAGCGGGCCGATTTTCTCAACGAGCACAGTGGGGACTACACCTGGGCATCGAAAAGAACTACAACGCGTGGAAAATCTTCGACGTCCATTCAAACGAAACAGTAGCAGCACGTGACGTAATTTTCTATGAACGACTCACGCTCCAGACGTACCTTGCCAACTTGCAAGAAGACGAAGACCCCACAGGTGGCCTTCGTGGTGACCGAGCCTTTGCCTCAGCAGCGGACGAAGCAGACTGGGACGAGCAGAATGTGGACAACGCATCAAAAGAAGCCGGACCTCTTCCGTTCTGCTCCGTCGACGTTCCCATGGACGAAGACAACCCTCGCGAAAGTGCCAACGCCGAAACCTTCTACCACTTCGCCGACAACGGTTACGTAACACCTGCGACAGTCAACACCAACGAAGCAGAACGAGTAGGACCAAATTTCATACCTGATCCAGAAACGGGAGACGAAGCAGCTTATCCCGAGGATGTAAATCTTCCCCGCTACTCATAGAGTGGACTGCAGATCCTCGGGCTCGTCATCGCAGTCCACGGCTCCGTCGCTCCTAAAGAGCCTGCGACGGTTCAGCAGGCTCTGGGGGGGGAACATAAAGAAAAATGGCGCGAAGCCATGGACAAGGAGCTAAAGGCACTGGAGGAACGCAACACGTGGAAGGTGGTTCCTATCGGTGTGGCACGGAACAAGACAGTACTCACCGGAAAATGGGTCTTCCGTGTGAAGACAAAGGCCGATGGCACCATCGACAAATTCAAAGCACGCTGGGTCGTTCGTGGCTTCGACCAAGAGCACGGCCGCGACTTCACCGAAACATTCGCTCCAGTCCGCCGACACACCTCGCTACGCATCCTTCTCGCGATCGCCACCATGAAGAAGAAGAAGCTAAGGCAAATCGACGTCGCCAATGCATTCCTCTACGCACCCGTTGACGCCGAGATCTTCGTCGAGCTACCACACGGCTCCAGCACGGACTCGAAACACGTCTGTCAACTACTCAAGTCACTCTACCGCATCAAGCAAGCCCCGCGACTATGGCAACAATACCTACACGCTCGTCTCATTCGCATCGGCTTCAAGCAACTACCGCACGACCAGGGCATGTACCGGCTCTCGAAGGGTACCGACTACGTCCTGCTAATCGTCTACGTAGACGACCTACTCTACATTGGCTCAACCGAAGGTATTACAACCTGGTTCGAAGGGGAGTTACAACAAGACCTCACACTCACAGTCTCACCTACCGTCACACAGTACCTCGGCCTCAACATCCGAGAAGAAGAAGACGCTATCTATCTCAGCGCCACGAAATACGCTGACACCATCGCCAAGCGTTTCGCACTCACACCAACAGCTATCTCCACACCGTACCGCTACACGACAGTAAACAAGGAAGGCTCCGCTCTACTCAAGCCCGCCGGCATCCGCGACTACCAGAGAAAGCTGGGCTGCCTTCTCTTCGCAGCAGTCACCTGCCGCCCAGATCTATCCTACTCTGCAAGCCAGCTCGCCACCTACCTCAAGAGGCCTGAAGCGGAACATCTGGCGGAGCTCGACCGCGCTCTTCACTACCTTGTTAGTACCCCGACGGTCCGACTGACTTATCATAAGAACGCAACTACAACGCCTAAGCTAATCGGCTACGTCGACGCAGACCACGCAGGGGACTCCGACAACAGGCGATCACGCACCGGCTACATCTACCGTCTCGAGCCTATCGGGCCTATTGCCTGGCAATCGAGCAAGCAAGAACTAATTGCTCTCTCGTCAGCTGAAGCAGAATATATTGCACTCTGCTCAGCCACCAAGGAAGGACTCTATCTTCGCGAGCTACTGGAACAAGCGAAGTTAGCCGAGTTACACAACTTCACCCTGTTCTACGACAACCAGTCGGCAATTCGCATCGCCAACAAGAACGGCTTCGCGAACAGGACGAAACACATTGCCCTACGATACTTCTTCGTGAAGGACGAGATCGAGAAAGGAAGGCTTGAACTGTCATACTGCCCCACGTCCGAGATGGCAGCTGATTACCTGACCAAGAAGCTCGGAAAGCAGAAGTTCGAATATTGCATGCTGCTGACTGGACAGAGCCACGTCAGCGACACTCCAGAAGCGAAGGGGAGTGTTGGAAACAATAGTTCCTAAGCGCCTCTGTCGTGTCAAAACACTAAGGCACAAGCGAAGCAGAGCATATCGAGGCACCAGCAAGTCAACCCTCGGAGGTTGAAGTAACCGCTGGAGGTTACGCGAAAGTCAAAGGTCAGCGACCTTTGACCTGACAAATGCAGCGCGACAGCAAGGACACACAACTGACTCTTTATAGAGCAGTTGCCCGAGTCGTCACTGTATCGAACCGCAACAGCAACAGTAAAGTAGTTATAACTGTGTCTCTTCATATTCTCTGTATTCATATATAATCTTGTATCTATTTGCTTTAATCAATTCACTTTGCCCTCACATACTAGCGCAAGGTGGTTCACAAACTCTTTATTAAGACGCTTCCGCTACTACATCAACTCTACCCAGAATTCACCTCTGCAAAGATCCTAAGGGCTTTTTCAGCCCAACAACAAGGAGGTGTCGACATGAAGTGTTGTACCCTGTAGAGGGCAACTCATTGTAGCCTATCTAACAATATATGGAAGATATAAACATTTGACAAATAGGGCCCTGCTCGCAAGCATGCGTTACTGTTTATTTTCCTCGCTATAAATGTTTGATCCTGCCTTGGATCACATTGTATGGTACTCGTTTGACTCTTCAAGTGCAATCCTAGCTCGCTTCATCAATTGCACGAAATTTGAGTACAACCCTGGAAGTATATCTGGAAACATTAGGAATGGAAATTTCTTGTTTTTCGATGACTGGCGGGTCACACTCTAGCAATACTTCCCGCCAGACTGACACTTTTTAAATTTCGAGTGGCTTGAGACGCGAGCAGAGTTGGGGGCAGAGGCAGCGAGTGATGAGATCGAGGGACGTGCGCAAGCGAGCATCCTGCTGCTCCGATTGCTCCGTTTCTCCCTCCTTCGAAAAGCAGGAATGCCTTCACCATCTCTCCCAAGGTTCAACAAAAAAATCACTCACTAGGTCCCGTCACTATTCCATTCACTCCCACACACGTCGTATCTTACCGCACAAGTACCGATAGTGCAAGATCTCTCTTCCGTTCGCAAACAAACTAGTTTCATACCAACCGCGCACGCAGGATGGGCGATGTTCAAAAGCGCGCGTTGCACGACATTTCGAACGAACTTATTCAGCTGACTACGTAGGAACTTCCCGCATATTTTTCCGTGGCTTGTCGTTCATTTCCAGCCCTTGTTCGGCCTGAATTCAGGATCTGTCGTTTCGCCGTTTTCGTTCTCCGCTTCTGTGCTCTGCCTCGGACCCCTTAGTCGCCGTCGCGCAGTCAGCCACCGCCACTCTGCCTCTCCGCTGCTCCGCAGCTTTGCCAGTCTGCCGCTCCGCTGCTCCACCGTTCTTATGCTCGCTTCCCCGTTCAGCTCGCGCTGTCCCCTCCGGCGTCGCTGCTGCTTCGCATCAATTCTCGTTCCCGACTAACGCTCTGCCCGTCGCCCTCTTCACCATGTGCGACCATCGCAGGGAGCGCGAGGAGCGGCTCAAGGCCACGCCAGCAAACGAGGATGGCGCCGTCGAGTCGCGCGAGGTCAACGGCCAGGTGGGAGAGAGAGTCGCGCGAGGTCAACGGTCAGGTGGGAGAGACGGGGACAGCCGTGGAGAATCCACCTGTACCTTGCTAGTTGGTCGTTTCCCTTCTCCGCTCATCGCGATGCTCGTCCGCCATTGTCTCCTCTCATGCGCACCTAAATCGTGAACCCTGAATGCTTCGATTGTGTACCCTGAATGCTTCGATTGTGTACCCTGAATCCTTCGATTGTGTACCCTGAATGCTTCGATTGTGTACCCTGAATGCTTCGATTGTGTACCCTGAATGCTTCGATTGTGTACCCTGAATGCTTCGATTGTGTACCCTGAATGCTTCGATTGTGTACCCTGAATGCTTCGATTGTGTACCCTGTATGGAATGCTTCGATAGGCGGCAGTGAAGCGGCTGCAGACGAGTTTTGTGGAGAGCGGGGTGAGTGCGGCGCTGCTGCGCTATCTGAGCGACACGGGGCCGCTGCTGCTGCAGGACTCGTGGGACCTGCCGCGCAGCAACGACGACGCTGGTGAGCGGAGAGGCGCGAGAGTGGTCTCGCTACCCCTGCGACGTATCGCATGCTCGCATAGCTGCGAGGCGTCGTCGCAGCTCTCGTCGTCCACGGCGGGCGACGTCGTCCGCAGCGCTTCAGCGACACACTGCCGCTGGAGCGAGAATGAGGCGCACAGGGAAACACTGAGCGAGCGAACACGATGCACGAGGCACGATGCACGATCCCACTGCGCGCATCCCACTGCGCGCATCCCACTGCGCGCATCCCACTGCGCTCATCCCACTGCGCGCATCCCACTGCGCGCATCCCACTGCGCGCATCCCACTGCGCGCATCCCACTGCGCGCATCCCACTGCGCGCATCCCACTGCGCGCATCCCACTGCGCGCATCCCACTGCGCGCATCCCACTGCGCGCATCCCACTGCGCGCATCCCACTGCGCGCATCCCACTGCGCGCATCCCACTGCGCGCATCCCCCTGCGCTCATCCCACTGCGCTCATCCCCCTGCGCTCATCCCCCTGCGCTCATCCCCCTGCGCTCATCCCCCTGCGCTCACCCCCCTGCGTGCACCAGAGGCGGCACGGCAGCAGCTCAAGGCGGCCAACAGCGACGCACAGGCGATGGCAGACAAGAGATGCGACGCCCTGCGACACGCGTGCGAGCAGCTGGGGCAAGGTGAGCCGCTGGGGGTGTGTGGTGCATGGTTATGTGTGGTGCACGGTTGTGTGTGGTGCATGGTTATGTGTGGTGCATGGTTGTGTGTGGTGCATGGTTACGTGTGGTGCATGGTTGTGTGTGGTGCATGGTTATGTGTGGTGCATGGTTGTGTGTGGTGCATGGTTACGTGTGGTGCATGGTTGTGTGTGGTGCATGGTTGTGTGTGGTGCATGGTTGTGTGTGGTGCATGTTTATGTGTGGTGCACGGTTGTGTGTGGTGCACGGTTGTGTGTGGTGCATGGTTGTGTGTGGTGCATGGTTGTGTGTGGTGCATGGTTGTGTGTGGTGCATGGTTGTGTGTGGTGCATGGTTGTGTGCGGTGCATGGCCGTGTGTGGTGCATGGTTGTGTGCGGTGCATGGCCGTGTGTGGGGCATGGTTGTGTGCGGTGCATGGCCGTGTGTGCTGTATGCGTCACAGATAGTGCAGACTTGCCGTCTGCCCATGCCCACATTCGCATTGCCCACCTCCCACCACCACCCATGCGGCCCAATGGTCCACGTGTCAGAAGTGGAGAGGATGGAGGAGCTCCACGTGGACGACCAGCTCAGCGCGCTCTCCATCGAGGTACGCCTCTTTCCCTGCCCCAATTCTCGCTGCCCCAATGCTCGCTGCCCCAAAGCTCGCTGCCCCAATGCTCGCTGCTCCATTGCTCGCTGCTCCTCGCTCCCCTCTCTGCACTGGCAGCTGGCAGTGCTGGAGGAGGCGGAGGCGGCGCTGCAGCAGGCGGAGGAGGCGGCGGGGCAGGCGACGTGCAGCGCACAGGGCGAGGGCTCCGAGGTGCGGGCTGGGTGTGTGTGGGCGCACGGGGGCCGGGGTGAGGGGAGGGTGTGGGCGCAAGGGTGTTTGGTGAGGGAGGGTGTGGGCGCGGGGTTGTTGGGATGATGGGAGGGCGTGGTGTGGGTGGCAGAGGGCTGGGGTGGCATTGGGCAGAGGGTCCCTGGAGGGAAATGCCGGAAAGGCAAGAATGTAATGGCAGCAGAAGCAGGACTTGGAATATGGAGGCGCATTGATGAGGCAGAGGAAGCAGTGGGTTGCACGAGGGCGGAATGGCTCTCTGTAAGTGGTCAGCTCTTGCTGCTCGCTCCCTCAAGCACCTTATACCCTGCTGCTCACACACACGTCCCCTCCCTCTGCCCCTCTCTCCCTCTCTTCATCGCCCACCACCAGGCGGCGCAAGTGGCGGCGCTCACCCGAGTGAAGGCAGAACTGGCGGCGTCTCTGCAGCGCTGCGCCGCCGCTGAAGGGCTCTCCTCGCACCTCGCTGCTGCTGCTGCTGCCACACAAGCGGTGAGACAAGGCCGCTGCTGCCTCTCGCTTCCCCACTTGTCCCCCGTGTCTCTCATGCCTTTGCCCCCTTTGCACGTGCGCCTCACACCACTTCTCCTCTGTGCTGCACCCCCCCCCCCCCCCTCCCGTGCAGAGCGAGGAGCAGAGCCACCCCGCAGAGAGGCACACGAGGAGCGCCGGGTGAGTTGCTGCCACACACGCGGGCGTGCGTGGGTGGGGTTGGCCGCATGCCTCTCACTGCCTCATGCGCCAGTGGATACGAACTGCACTTGCACGCTCTCTTGCGCTGATGCTCATGCTTTCATCCTTTGCCATCCCCTCATGCTTTCATCCTTTGCCATCCCCTCATGCTTTCATCCTTTGCATCCCCTCATGCTTTCATCCTTTGCATCCCCTCATGCTTTCATCCTTTGCCATCCCCTCATGCTTTCATCCTTTGCTATCCCCTCATGCTTTCATCCTTTGCCATCCCCTCATGCTTTCATCCTTTGCCATCCCCTCATGCTTTCATCCTTTGCCATCTCCTCATGCCTCCCTTCCTGCGCACCCAAAACCCTGCTCTCCTCATTCAAGCATCTGCTCTCCTCATTCAAGCATTCCACCCTCTCAGTAAACCCTGCCCTTGCCCCCTCTTTCCCCTCCCCCTCCACGCACCCACTGTCCTACCCGCCCCTCGGCCCCATGCAGCCCATCACCCACCGCCACATTCAGTGGCACTAGCAGCAGCACGCAGCAGACGGCAGAGCAAGGCAGCCACGCGCAGGCAGCAGTGCAGCAGCTGGCAGAGCTGCTGTGCCCCGCCACCCTCACCGCCCAGACTGCCCGCTCCCTCTCTCTGCGCCTCCCCCTCCCCTCCCCCCACTCGCTTCCAAGCCCGCCACTCACGCGTGAGGCAGCCGCTTCAGGCAGTGCAGCAGCACGCGCATGTGCCCCTGCCACGGGGAAGGCAGGGCTGCCTGCTGTGGTGTTGGGCGGTGCAGGGGAGGGCAGCATGGGGGAGGGCAGCAGTGCGACAGTGGAGGTGGCTGTGCTGCGTGGAGGGCACGTTGCTGCTGCATCCATTGTGAGCCACCTTTCTCTGCCTGTCGTGCCTCCTTCCTCCCCGCCCTCCCCTCCGCTGCCTGCCTGTCTTCTTCCTCACCTTTCAGTGCGACGCTCTCACTTAGCCTCCCACATGCTGTGCTTCGTCCCTGAGAACATTTATATGTATCAAGCTAAAAATTCTATCTTTTTACAATGTCCCCATTGCCACGGCATCCAGGTCCCAGTTCCCATGCGCCCTGTCCCCCCACCTCCGCATGTGCGCTGCACGCCCCTCTCCTCTCGTCCACATGCCATCACCCCCCTTCCCGTGCGCCGTTCCCTCCCCACCCTGCAGGAAGCCCCAGGACTCCCCCAACGCTCGCTCCCTCTGCAACCCTCCACCCACGCTGCTGACAGGTGCGCCTCCCATGCCATGCCGTACTGTACTGTGCCATGCACTGCCATGCCATGCCATTCCATCCCATGCCATGCCCTGGCATGGGCTGCACCCGCTGCCTCTGCCCCGCACACCTCATGCGTCTCCCCTCTCTGCCTGCCTTGCAGCGCCACAGGGGCCAACCAGCAGCATCCAGGCGGAGCAGGAGTGCCGGTGGCAGCAGCAGTGGCGGAGGCGGCCTGTCTGCTGCGCCTGCTGGCGCTGCGCCGGGCACACATGGCAAATGCCCTCGCCACCGCGCCCTTTCCCCCCCGGTATGCCACGTCCGCTGCAGCCTCTTCGTCCGCTGCAGCCTCTTCGTCCGCTGCAGCCTCTCCGTCCGCTGCAGCCTCTCCGTCCGCTGCAGCCTCTCCGTCCGCTCCATAAACTTTCATGTGAACAGCATACTTTACTTTCTCCCATCCCTCGTGCCTTCACCTTCTCTCGTCACATCTCCTCTCCTCTCCTCTCCTCTCTGCTCATCTCCTCCCCTCCCCATCTCTCCTCTCTTCTCCTCTCCTCTCCTCTCCTCTCCTCTCCTCTCCTCTCCTCTCATCTCATCTCCTCGCATCTCCTCTCTTCTGTCATGCCCCATGGGAGCGCAGGTACATGGTGGAGATGGCGGGGGAGGGCGCATTCAAGGTGAAGTGGGCCAACGGGGCCACCCTCACCCTCACCGCCTGCAACGACTGGCCAATGCCAGGCGGCCACCTGGCAGTGGCTGACGTAGAGCTGCCCCACACAGCGCAGTCGGGCGAGGAGAGGCAGCAGCTGCTCTCGCTGCTCTCCACGGCCGTGGTGAGCTCCCTGTGCTGGGCGCCTCTCAGCTCACTGCGCCCATTACCACTCTCCACGCACCACAGCACGCATTGCCCTCTGAGGCTGTTGGTTCCTTCCTGGGTGTGTGCGTCAGGGAGCAAGCGAGGCTGGTGCAGGTGCAATGGCATCTGAGAGGCACATGATGATGTCATGTGGTTGCAGGGTAGTTGTGAAAAATCTCAAGAATCCCGTGCAAGGGGCCTTGTGAGCTCTGAGCATGGGCTTGCGGCACCGTGCTGTGTGAATGCTCACTGCTCTTTCCCACACACACCCCACCCCCCTCACCAAGCCATGGCAGGGCGACGCACAGCGGCAGGATGACACACCTCCGGCCCCTCCGGCCCTGTCCGCCCTGGGCGGTGTGATAGCAGCGGCAGGGGCATGCCTGCGCAAGGCCATGATGGTGGCGCTCAAGACATCGTGATGCCATGCTGACGTGGTGGCATGCTGACGTGGTGGCATGCTGACGTGATGGCATGCTGATGTGATGGCATGCTGACGTGATGGCATGCTGACGTGATGGCATGCTGACGTGATGGCATGCTGACGTGATGGCATGCTGACGTGATGGCATGCTGACGTGATGGCATGCTGACGTGATGGTATGCTGACGTGATGGCATGCTGACGTGATGGCATGCTGACGTGATGGCATGCTGACGTGATGGCATGCTGACGTGATGGCATGCTGACGTGATGGCATGCTGACGTGATGGCATGCTGACACAGTGAGGGATGCGTGGGCGCTGTGTGGTCAAATTGTTGTACATTCACACAGAACCTGTGCTGTCTGTGATGGTGGTGCCGATGCTGATGCTGATGGTGATGCTGATGCTGATGCTGATGCTGATGGTGCTTGTAGAAACATGCTCACGGAGGAGAGCATGAAGGAGTGAGCAGCATTGGCATGGTAGGAGCAGTGAAGTGGTGGCAGGTGCTGTGATACCTCATCAGGTGCTGTGATACCTCATCAGGTGCTGTGATACCTCATCAGGTGCTGTGATACCTCATCAGGTGCTGTGATACCTCATCAGGTGCTGTGATACCTCATCCATGCACCTGTGCACCAGCGCTCCACACACTCATCAGTGGGTTTGACTTGATCATGAAGTGTGGCCCTACAATAAGAGCATGCTGAATGTGATGCCACAGTGGTAGTTACTTCAACGCATACCCAACGTGCATTGCTGAGCCACCCCATCCTCCAGCAAGCTGGCATGCGCGGAATTGAGTTGATGAACCAAGGCAATGAACTCAGAGGTACACTAGAGTAGATATGCACTGCACATGCAATAGTAGTGAAGGTGAAACAGCATGAGGAGGTGAGTGCTGATTGCAGCTGTACCTCTGCTCTTGCTGGCTTGGCCTGTCAAACTATATACATGCTTTATAATTGGGTGTAGTGGGGTAGCCATTGTGGGGTACAACCCCTTCAGGTTCATACTTGTACCAAACTCTCTCGATACTGCACCTGCTGAGGCCTTGCACACCTTCACGCTTGACCCAGATGCTTCCAGCTGTTTCTTTCGTGACAATACTGCTCTCACACCAGTCCCTTCACATGTTGCAGTCTCCCTGGCTGACCCCTCAGGGGGCCCAGTTCTTGCATGGTCCACCACTGTGCTCCCGTTCCCGGCGGTTCCGTCTGGCTCACTATCAGGTCTCCTTCTCTACGAATTTGGTGAGCACTGCTGTCCTCCAGAATGCGGGGGTTGGCACCTTCACCCCTGGTCAGCAGCGTGTGGCGATCTGTACGTGCTCCCAGACCTGCCGCCACCTGGCCACGTTTACCCGTCGGCCAGGGTCGAGTCTTTACACACTGCAACTGCGCCTCCTCAGGTAGCTGCTACTGGTCAAGTGTCTGCGTCAGATCAGGTAGCCTCCCCTTGTAAGTGTCACTCCCTGTCGCATCAGACTCTTCTCTGGCACCACCACCTGGGTCACCCCTCCTTGCCACGTCTCCGTGGCATGCACCGTAGTCTCCTTGTGTCTGGTCTTCCCAGGTCTCTCCCTCCCCTCCCTGCCTCGCCTGCGCCGCCCTACCTTCCTTGCGTCGAGGGGCGGCAGCGCGCTGCTCCTCACTCCTCGTTTCCCCCGACAAAGGCTCCTCTACAGACCCTCCACCTGGACGTGTGGGGCCCAGCCCACGTTCGTGGACAGGGCGGTGAGCGGTACTTTCTGCTGGTTGTCAACGACTACTCGCCTTACACCACGGTCTTCCCCTTGCGCACCAAGGGTGAGGTCCCTGCTGTCCTGATCCCTTGAATCCGAGAAGTTCGTCTCCAGCTCTGCCGCAGGTTCCGCCAGGACCTGCTTGTCCTGCATTGCACTCTGACAGATGTGGTGAGTTCACCTCCGACCTCTTGCGGGCCTTCTGTCAGGGGGAGGGCATCGAGCAGTCGTTCACGCTTTCGGGCTCACCGCAGCAAAATGGGGTTGCTGAGCGCCGCATTGGCTTAGTCATGGAGGTCGCTCGTACCTCCTTGATCCATGCGGTGGCTCCCCATTTTCTGTGGCCGTTTGCGGTCCGGTACGCCGCGCAGCAGCTCAACCTCTGGCCCCGTGTCTCCTTGCCGGAGACCTCGCCCACACTGCGTTGGATGGGGGAGGTAGGCGATGCGTCGGTGTTCCGGGTCTGGGGTGCTCGTGCCCTTGTCCGCGATACGTCCGCGGACAAGCACTCCTCCCGCACCATTCTCTGTGTCTTCCTTGACCTTGTCCCTGACGCGCCTGGCTGGCAGTTTTACCACCCCACCTCGCGCCGTGTCTTCCCCTCTCAAGACGTCACCTTTGACTAGTCGGTTCCTTTCTACCATCTCTTCCCCTCCATCACTGCCCCTCTCCCTCCCCCGCTGCTTTTCCTCGCTCCAGGTCCCCCTCCGGTAGACCCCCTCCCCCCTCAGGGTCCTGCTCCTTCAGGTGTGTCTTAGGTAGACCCGCCCCAATTCGCTGAGCCTGTAGAGGTCACTAGCGACTCAGGTGCTGCTGCGGGAGGTGCTGCTGGGGGTGCTGAGCCTACACATGAGGTGCTGGGCAGTGCGGAGCCTGGGGGTGCTGAGCCCGTCCGTGAGGTGCTGGGGAGTACGGAGCCTGGGGGTGCTGAGCCTATGAGTGCGAAGCCTGGGGGTGCTGAGCCGGAGGGTGCCGGGTCGGGGGGGGCTGAGTCTGCTGGCGTTCCTCTGGGTCTCGTTTCACAATGCGGGCCTGTCCACCACAGCAGGCACGAGAGTAGATTGCGTCGCGTACCCGCTTGAGGAGTCGTGCTGCTAAAGTTGCTTGTCGTGGAGGCGCTGGGAGTGCTGGTGTCTCTAGTCCTGGAGGCGTATTGTGTGGGGATTTAGGATCGAGCTCAGAAAAGAGAATGAGAATTGAGTCGAATTGAATGATCACCTGGGTACAACACGAGGCTATATATAGGCTCGACACAAGGCCCCGTAACCAGGTGTTACGCGAAGGTTCCGCGGGTCCCGAAGCGTCACGAACAGATCCTTACCGAATTCGGTAAAAGGCAATTCGGTGGCAACCGAAAAGCCAGAATTCGGTGCACGCAACCTAGCTCGGTGCTATAACTATAATAAAATATAGGAAGCACCTAGCCTAGGAAATCAAGCAATTCATGCATGCATATGATTATCCTATGCTAGAAATAGCATGATAAAGTAAAGGCAAGCAAGCATAGCTGGCATAAGCCGTCGTACTCTCACACGTCCCCCCCTCAAAGCTGGGTGACGTGAGATACACCCTGCTTGACAAGATAGTCCTTAAGAGCACGGCGTGCGTTGCCCATATCAGCTTCTGCAACCCAACTATCCTCAGTGGGGTCGTATCCCTTCCAGCGTATCAGGAACTCGAGGGTCTTGCCGCCGCGGCGCCGATGAGAGAGAACGCGCTCGATCTCGTACTCGGGTTCATCCTGCACAAGAACAGGTGGAGGTGGCGGTAGCTGCCGTCCCTGGAACTGTTGGTTGGGGTCCTTGTAGGGTTTTAGTAGCTGCACTTGGAAAGCGTTGTGAAGCTTCCAAGTATTTGGTAAGCGCAAGCGAAATGTAACTGGTGTCATCTGTGCCTCAACGAGAAAAGGACCACAGAAGCGAGGCCGGAGTTTGGATGGGAGGTGAGACAGGTTCAAGTTGCGCGTATCAAGAAGCATCTGATCTCCGACTGCTACTGAGTGATCACGTCGCTGACGATCGGCATACTGCTTCTGGGAGGTCTCCATCGTGGTGAGTCGTCGCTGAGTTTTCTCCCATAGCTGCTGCATGGTGGTGATGAAGTCATGTGCGGCTTGGACGTGTGCCGGTGTAGTTGGCTGCTGTGGTTTGAGTGGTTCCCGTCCGTAACACAGGAAGAAAGGAGTTTTCCCTGTGGCCGCATGTGAGGCGTTGTTGTAAGCGAACTCTAGGGTTGGTAACTGTGTGTCCCAGTGGCTGATGTCGTCCTTGCAAGCTGTGCGCAGTAACTGTTCAACCACTTGATTGAGTCGCTCTGTCTGTCCGTCAGTCTGGGGGTGGTATGCTGAAGACATTGCAAGCTTTGTCCCCAACAGTCCCATGAGCTCCTTCCAGAACTTACTGGTGAATTTTGGGTCTCTATCTGAGATGAGTGTAGCGGGGATGTCGTGGATGGTGATGATGCGGTTGAAGAAGAGGCGAGCAGTTGCTTCAGCTGTAGTTGTGGCGTTGGTCGGTATGAAGTGACCCATTTTGGAGAACTTATCGATGACTACGAGGATGGAATCGTGCCCCCGTGAAGTCGAAGGAAGTCCTGTGATGAAGTCGAGGCTAACGACCTGCCATGGCTGCTCCGGTACGGGTAGAGGCTGAAGTAACCCTGCTTTTTTCTGCTTGCTACTCTTCATCCGCTGGCACGTGTCGCAAGAGATGACAAACTGCTGCACGTCTGCTGCCATCCCGGGCTAGTAGTAATACTTCGCTATCCCTGCTAACGTTTTGTTGCTCTCGAAATGTCCCGCGTATGGTACGTCGTGAAACTCCTCCAATAGGATCTGCCGTAGCGAGGCGTAGTTTGGTACCCAAATCTTTCCTGAACCCTTCCTTACAGCTTAGTCTTTCTCCCACTGTAATAGCTTCTTTGTCTATGCTGTAGCGATCTCTGCGTCCACGGAGTACCCATGTTGGAATAGACCCTTGAGCAGAGGGTTCATCCCGTCGAGTTGGATGCCTGCTACATGTCCGGGGCGGCTCAACGCGTCTGCCTTGTTGTGTAGCCCGGGCTTGTAGACGATGTCGTAGTGGAAGTGAGCTTCCAGGAAGTCCACCCACCGCACCTGTCGTCGTGAGAGCGTCGGCTGCGACTTCAGGTATTTGAGACTGCAGTGGTCAGTATAGACTGTAGTCTTGGCTCCCTCTAGGTAACACCTCCACGCCTTGAAGGCTATGACTATCGCTAAGGCTTCCTTGTCATG